CCCCCCCCCCCCCCCCCCCGTTTTCTCATCGCAGAATTATGGATCCGAGCCTGCTGAGAGAACGAGAGCTATTCAAAAAAAGAGCCCTCTCCACTCCTGCTGTAGAGAAACGTCCCGTATCCTCTTCTGATTCTTCATCTTCTAAAAAGAAGAAAGTAAAAGTAGAGCAGGGTGGATCATCAAGCTCAAAACAAAATGCAGGTTGGTAAAGTAGCTCTGGTTTTAGGGCTGGTTTTGTTGTCTGCCACCTGTCTGTGTGTCCAGTTAATTTGAATGGGTCACTGCTTCCGTGATCTTAAGTACCTGTCATGCTCTAAAGCAGGGGTGAGCAATTATTTCGGGCAGAGGGCTGCTTGCTGAGTTTTTGGCAAGCCATCAGGGGCCAGATGACAGGCAGCCAAAGGCAGATAAGTATTAATTTTCTGAATTTTTTAGGGGCCCTGTGGGCCGGATAGAATGGCCTGGCAGGCCGCATCTAGCCCCCAGGCTTCATTTTGCCCACGCCTGCTCTAAAGCAGTGGGGCCAAATCTTTTTGGCAGGCAGGCCACAAGTTAAGCCCCACGCCTCCAATCCCCTTCCCCTGCTTGATCTGCTGCTCTGCTTTCTGTTCTCTGTTCCCTGCCCAATTTGTTTCTCTTCATTTGTCTCCCTGCCCTGTGCTTCCTGCCTGATTTGTTGTTATGCTTTGTTCCTTGCCCTTGTCTGTTGCTGTGTTCCCTGGACCCTCTCTGTTCTCCCACATGCTACCCGCAGAAGTGGCCTATTGCACGTGTGCTGCAGGTTGGCCACCCATGCTCTGAAGAGAGCAGTCTCCTACAGTTCTCGTTCAAGCACCTTAGCATGAGACTAGAGTGGAGATTGAATGTCCGCTCCTCCCCCTGCCCCCCGTGTCTTGAGTTGTGTGCCATCCCTGAAATACCATAAATGCTAATCTGAATTTTTCAGTCAGTTTATGCTTGACCTTGGTACATGAAGTTCTTGATGCTTGTGGCTCTGCAGTGCTCTAGCTCAGTGGTGTTCAACTTTTTTTGCCAGACAGGCCAGCTGAGCAGTGCCCAGTCTGTCCACAGGCTGGATCTGGCTGATGATCCTACTCCAGAGATTGGGGTGGGTACAGCCCCATTGAGTCCTGCAGGAGGGGTGGCATGATCTAGTTCAGATGCAGCCATATGGGGTTGGAAGTGTGCCCTGGTCCTGCAGGAAGATGGTGGTATGGCCTGGCCCTAAACCAGCAGTAAAGGGAGAAGGGGCATGGTCTGGTCCCAACCTGCTGCACAGACTTGGGAATTTGGCAGCAGAGGAGTTTGGCAGTATTCGTTACCACTGCTCCTCCACTACCAAACTTCCTGACCTGTGAGGAGCTTTGTGGGCTGGATGGGCCACATCTGGCCTGTGGGCTGGAAGATAGACAAACATTGCAAAGTTGGGAAAACAACAAAAAGGAGTAGTAGAGCTGGCAGAAAGAGCTAGGGCAGGGGTGTCTATCTAGGTTTGTATGTAAGGGCCAAGTCTCATAGCATCTAACTTGAGAGCGGGCAAAATATGGCTTGCGGGACTCCTAAAAATCGAGAAAATTAATATTTATGTGCCCTAGCTGCCTGTGGAAGATGACAAGGCACATGGGGCAGTAGGACCCAGGGGAAGCCTGTGGCAGGACCCAGCAGCTGCAGCAAGGCTGGCCCAGCCCCATGCCCAGCTGAAAGCCTCTCTGGGACCCTGGGGCTGTCCCTGCCTTCCCTGTTCTGGAGGGAAATTTAGATAAGAACAGGGGGAGGGAGGCAGAGGAGAACCGCGGGCAATCACCCTAGTCCTCAGGGTCAGGTTCAGCTGGCTCCTGTGATCTCAGCGCTGCACCTGGGAACCATGGGTTGGAGCAGCAGGTGGGGGGATGGGGAGGAACAGTAGCAGGCAAGAAAGCAAGGAAATGGCAGTGACAGGGGAGCTGCAGCATGTGGGTTTGTGGGCAGGAGCACAGGCCCTTGCTGGTGTCCCAGGGCCAGGGCTCAGAGCAGGCAGCAGGAGCATGGGGCCTGGGCTGGCAAGGGCTCTGTGGAGCTGGGCCAGGCTGTGCCAGCAGGGAGAGTGGGGAGCCAGCCTGGATCCATAGAGCCCCTGCTAGCCCGTGTCCTGCACTCCTGCCACCTCACTCTGGGCCCTGCTGTCCTGGCCCCAGTGTGCCTGCTCACTGCTGCTCCCCTGCTGCCTACCACTGCCATTTCCCCATTTTCCTGCATGCTGCTGTCCCCCCCACCCCTCTTCATCCCACGCCGTTTCAGTACCACATGGTTTCTGGCTGCAGTGCCAGACCACAGGACTCGGAAGGAGCCGGCCTGGCCCCCACAATTCTCAGCTGGTGCTGTGCTGGCTGGGCTGGGCCAGCTCCTGCTGCGTCTGGTGGCCTTTATCGTGCAGCTGGGATGTGGTGCTGCGGCAGGAGAAGGGCAGTGGTGGCACATGGGAGGGGGAAGTGGCAGCAAGCAGGAGCACAGGGCCAGAAGCAGCAGGGGTGCAGAGCCTGGGCTTGGAGGAGCACTGCCAGGGGCTCTGCCTGCCACGAGGTGGGGGAGGGGGGGGCTGTGGGCAAACCCTCTCCCTACACACGTGCCACGATGTTGTTCAGCCATATATGCACGTGCACCTCCCCACAATATACAAGAGTAAGACTTCATTTTAAGCTATTATACAATCACCTTTGTGTACACTACACAAACACAAGTAAATCAGGACAAACTATTTTTTTTTTTTTTAAATCATATTAATGTTGTAGTAGATGTTTGGTTTTTTTTTTTTTTTTTTAGAATATAATTTGGTGTATTTTGGTTCCGAGATGGCAAACCCCCATGCTGAAAGGAGTATTTCCTTGGGCAAAGGGGAGGGACTTGTTGGTCTGGAACCAACTTCCAAGAGTAGTGGTGCAGGCTCCTACCCTGGGGGTTTTTAAGAGGAGGTTAGATGTACACCTTGCTGGGGTTGTTTGACCCCAGTACTCTTTCCTG